CACATCCGCTGTACTCAGTATAATGTTGTCATTAAGTTTTAAGTTCTGCGTTAATTGGATGATATGCCTAGTATCCTTTAAATATGCTGTGGTCTGTACCACTAATGGCTGGAGATATTGGTCAATGTATTTTCCCATCCTTGTGTCAGTGGATCAATTCCATTAATTATGGGTCTGATTGGTGGGTTTGATGGGTCTTTGTGTATTTTAGGTACTGAGTAGATTATTGGTAATTTTACATGTCGAGAGTACCAGATATTTAGTTTCTTTATCATTCAATATATGTTTCTTATTTCCATAATTTACTAACTTCATTAGTTCTTTTTTATATGTTTTTATTTGGATTACTTTTTAGCACTTTTTATGTATTTTTATCATTTAACATCTCCTCCATGGATTTTTCATAAAATGTTTTGTATAATACTACTATTTCTCCCCCCTTATCAGCAGGTCGAATCACTATATTTTTCCTATCATTAAGACTTTTGATACCTTTAAGCATGTTTAAATCTTTCGTGACTAATTTTTTAAAAGTGTTGATATATGTACTATCAATAACTTTAGGTTATAAGATTACTATGTTGAAAATTGGGTGTTTTAATAGCATAATTTTGTTCAATGGGATTCTGAGCATAATATTTTTTAATGTTCAATTTTCTAAGTTTCTGTAGACCAATAAATGTCTCAAATTTATTTAGTCCTTTGTTAGGGGCAAATTTTAGACCTTGGTCCAATACATGAATTTCTTCCTGTTTTAAAGGAGTTTCCACTTAGATTAAAAATCCCTTCTCCTTTTATTTTTCCTTTTTTTTTTGTTTTTGTGTTTTCTTCCTCCTCTGTTTCCCTTCTTTCTCCATTGTTCTGGTTCTCTATTGATAAATTTTGATTCAACTCTAAAAAAGGATTGGGTATTGGCGTGTATGATTCTTCTGATTCCAAAGGTGAGTACCTATTCTGTAAAGGTATATCAAATGGCTGAGGGGTATTTTTGGGCGGATTATAGTGATCATGCTCATATTCCAATGGATAATCATTCCTATAGTCATTCCTGTACTCATTTCTATAATTTGGCACATAATTTCTGCCCTGATTGTAATAATTCTGGTGGCCTCTATAATTGTACCCTCTATTTCTATTCTTAGAGTACGGTCTACCTCTTGATTGAAAAAATGGTGGTGGAGCTCTGTTTGAATGATATATTGGTGGTGGAATCCTATTGTAATTTTTTTGATTGTATGAGTAATTTTTCTTATATTCCTCTCTTTGTTGATATGGTATTGTTTGTCTAATAGGTTGTTGGGGTGGTGGGCATGATCTTTCTGATTGGCCATCATCTTAGGTGTGTGGTGATGTAGCTCTTTAGATGTATTTTTAACAAAATCCATCAATTTTTTGACTGGTTTTTGAATGATTTCTGTGTTTTTTTAACTGGAGTGCCATCTGCAGATTTTAATTAATTAATGGCATTTGATTGTTGCCATTTGTATATTTGTTTTAAATTATATTCCTGTGTTACTTTCTGATATTTTTTTCCTCTTTCTATTTTTTGATCTCTGAATCTTTATTTTTCACATTCTTATTCAATTCAGTCATATATTTATTAAAATCTGGGTGTTCTTTATATTTTTCCACTTTCTCCCTTATATTCTTTCAAAATATGTTCTAATTTGCGCATTTTTCTCTGTCTCCTTTTTATTAAAAAAACTATTAATTCCACACTCTTTTCACTAAAAAAATTAAACCATTCAGTGATGTCCTCCTCTTCTAATAAACCATCTGCTATGGGTAAATCCCATCTTAATTTTTTTGGGATAATTTTTTCTTTTAGATATTTCTCCAATGTTGTTAAATCCCACCATACATTTAACTTTTTTTTCATTGTGTGCATAGTTTTTTCTAAATAGGTTTTGTATATTGATATCTAATTTTTCCTCCTTTTTAAATATGTTATCTATATCAATGTGTCTATTCTCCAAAAATGTAAAAACCTCCATTGTGTCTACTAACAAGCGTGTGAGTATACAGTGTAGTTCTTGTGTAAAATGTACTTGTGAGCCACTGAGGAATAAAAATATCTGTGTGTGTATAAACAAAGTGAAGGGAGTAGTATATGCATTAAAATGCCCCTGCAATAAAATCTATATTGGGAGAACAAAAAGATCACTAAAAGAACGTATAAAAGAGCATGTTCGAAACATCATAAAAGGATATAAATATCATAATGTACCACTGCACTTCCGTCATTTCCATGAACAACGGGTTGAAGGTTTAGAATTTTGCAGTATTGAAAAGCATAATGCACATTGGAGAGGGGATAATCTAATTAGAGAAATCAGTAAAAAAGAATCTCATTGGATCTATGAGATGGAGTGTTTGGCCCCCCAGGGGGTTAAATAAAGAATTTGACCTTTCATGTTTTCTGAGTGACTATTGTTATTTATGTAGATAATATTAATATAGATCCCAAATGAATATGTGGAAAAAACATTTAAATAAAAATTATATACTTAATAGGTAATATCACACTAATTCAGAGTGAATTTGGCTATAAGTGTAATACATGGATATAAGATATGGATATAAGATAATTTTTTGAGTTGATTATGCTAATTATGGTAATTATATTCTAAAACTAATAAAGATTCTGTAAAACTAATATAACATCTATAGTATGATTCATGAACTAAATAATGGGCTGAATATTAATAAAAACAAAATATAAAATGGAGCTAGAATATATATTAATTTGCTTAACATGCATTTATGGGGAATGTATATTAATTAGTATTAAATATTTAATTTACCCCTTTTTTTATATTTGTGATTTTTTTTAATATATTCATGATTTTAATTTATGTTATTATTAAAATAATTTTTATAAATTGTTAGGAAATAATTGTATTTTTTGTTTATATTTAAGAGGATTCATAATGTTATTGTTTAATATATAAATGATTACATTAACATATCATGTAGCAAAGTATACTGTTGAATCAGCCTGTGGGTGTGTAGTGCACACACTGACAGTCAAGCCGTAGGATGCTGGGACACAAATTGCAACTATGTAATTGAGAATAACATATGTCAACAACAACAGGTGTTCTATAGTAGATTTAGACCCCAGAAATATGGTAGCACCCATTAAGACTACAACAAAATGGCGTTGTAACGATATATAAAGAGCTCAAGCAAGGTGATGTGTAAAACTACATCTCCCAGAGGAAGCTACAAGTCCCTGTAGCGTAACGCGTAGGGGAGGGGCAGTGACGTCACCACGCATCCGCAGTCGGACACGGCGAGTATTGACAGTGTGCGCAGGCACACCAACAAGGCTGTCCTCACCGCTATCCGCGGCTGTGTATATATATATATATATATATATATATATATATATATATATATACGGAAAGCACATTATATTTTATCTACATGTGAGTGCAATATTGGCGCACATTAAAGCTTCTTACCCAGGATAAGACACTATGTATCTTTTCTTCTTTTCCTTATGATCCATGGGAGGAGAGTTGGATTAAGGAGAGTGCTGGGGAAGCAGAGATTTTGTCTATCACAGTGATTCACAGCGCAGCTCTTGTTGTTAACCATTACAGCCACACAGCACAGGCTACAAAGGAGAGTATACTGAATTCATCTTTCTGTTGAACTTACATGGAAATTGTCATCATCTCAGTGAATATGGGACTATTTATTTATATTTTATTCTCAACTTAGTATTATTATCATTTTTATTCATAAGGATTCTTTGTCTTATGCAAATATTGGCACAAGGTGCATGAATAGTTACTCACGGTGTTTAATTGAGAATATATATTGATTCTTTACTTATATTTTTTTTCTTAAAACAATGAATAGAGCAGGGCATCCAATCTCTTTATAGTATTGTTGTCTGCTCTTTATCTCCACTCCTCCTCCCTCCCTAACGCTACTTTTATTTTTCTCCCCTTCTCTTTCATTTCTCTCTTTCATCTTGCCCTCCCATAATGCTTGGTACTAAAGTTTAAGGTTCCTTGCACACTGGCTTAAAAAAAACGCCAGTATTCTTGGCAGAAGAAAATACAAATTTTGAGTGTTTTTTCTACTAGTGTTTTGAAGAATTTAGATTTTCTCTCAAAAACACAAAACAGAAGGTATTTTTTTTTCTGCCTCGAGGTGAATGTAGCAGAGTTAGTGCACTTGTAACAGAAACAATTGAGTGCCATCCATGATACTTTTCTTATTTGCACTAACATACAATTTTTCAGGATAAGCTTTCGGGTGTACCCCCTTCTTCAAGGTGAGCACTGCTGAGACCTTGAAGAAGGGGGTACATCCAAAACCTTCTCCGAAAAAATTGTATATTTTTCTGCCTCTAAACACCGAGCTTAAACAATGCCTCTGGATGACCTAAGGTGCATGGACACATAGGATAACAGTAGTTTCTACAAGCAAAACACTAAACTCCTCTAGGAGCAGCATTTTTTTTAAGCCAGTGTGCATAGAGCCGTTGAGTACCTGCAGTCATTTTACATCGTTTATTGTTCTTTAACATGTTTATTTTCTTTTTGAAGGACACAATTGAATGGATACTGTTTCAATATAGCCATTCCATCTGCCGTGTGTGTACTGAGATACTCCACTACTTGGGCTCTGTATCCTTCAGCTGTTGCACAAATTGTCCTATTTATTGTACACTTTTCTGTTATACTTTCTACATTAAAAATATTTTAACAAAAAAGAAATGTGTTCTTTCAAGAAATATTTTCTATCCTGCTTTGATTTTTCTTGACACTGCAGTAAACAATGAATGTCAAGTTGACCCCACTAACCATTAGAAAATCAAACAAAACGTTTTTTTTACCAAAATTCTACTAGAGCATGACCATCTTTACATTTCAAATAAACAATCACAACTGATGCCCACCAGTAATATGTATTTACACTGATAATCTATTTGCCTTGTATTTGTACAAAATGTATACAAAAGACATATTGTCCTAGCTTACCTTGTCGTATGTCTCTGTCTTTCGCTTGGTATAGTTCTGATTAGACCAGGTCAGTGGAATTAGTATTTTAGCACTCCTGATAAAAAGTCTCTTCTGTGTGGCATTAAATAAATATCGGGTGGCTTCATTCACCATGTCCTAGGGTTGAGAAAAATAAGGCAATGCTACACAGCTTAGAAAGATCATATTATAATATACATTTATTTTCAAATCCAAACAATCTCCTTGTTGTATCGACTCATTCTGTATCACTATTGCTGTTCTTCTCTTAACATATACATGGTCATCCCTTCCCTAAGTTATTGACTTGTCTTCAGAGCTTCATTCTCCCCTACCTCTAACTCCTCTTTTTCAATGAAAGAATATTTCACTTTCTATCAAACATTTTTTGTCAAAAGGTTGGTTTACCAAAAAGTGATATTTTAGTTATAGGTTCAACCTGTTGGACTGAGTCAGTATAAATCCAAGAAGGAGTCCAAGAGGGTTAACTCCATGTTATTAGTACTTAAAGTGTTCCTGTTAATCTGGGTTTTGGGTAATTAAACCACCTTTCAATATCCCAGCTTCTCAAATTGCATTCCCTCGTGAAAATAAATTAAAATCTAGAATGGTCAAAGCAGGTGAGTAGACCCAAAGACAAAGATCTCCCCAACAGAAGAGACATAAATTGTCAAGTGGCTCAGAATTTACCAAAAACTGAAATATCAGTGCTGGCTGTGGATTGATTCTTTAAATAAAAATTGCAACCAATTTAGGTACAAACTGAATATATGACTTAAAAAAATAACAAGCTAAGGCATGCTTCAGTAAAATCTGCAGTTCAAAATGATAAGCAGATCTTGAGCTATCCAGCTGAAATTATATACGCAACTTATTTAGTATAAACTGGCCCTGGTAACTCACAAACCACCATAGGCATGCCAGTCTATACCCAATGCCTAAAACTCCTGCCCCTTTAATTGAATTGAAAAACTGCATTACCTACATTGAGTATGACACCAATCCCGTGTATTTAATATGTTTATATGTATGTAATATATATACACATATGTATACATATTACAAAAAAAGTGTTTTTTTTCCCCTACATATTGGAAGTTGAAGATTACCTTGACTTTCTGTATAAGTTGAGCATTTTCAGGCAGTCCTGGGTGAATTGCAATTACAATATCGTTATAACCACCATCTTCAAGTGTAACCATGGAACTTTTTAAAGAGGAAAATGTTTGAAGTGTGATGATCGCAGCGACCAACCACCATCCACAGTCCATTTTTTAATGGTCACTGAAGTGGTGATCTGGGTGTTTTATATACTCCCAGAAAAGGCAGTTTGTGATATTTTTGTACTGTCACTTTTATAACTGTTTATTCAGGTAGCTGGTTGTTATGTTTATAGTTAAAAAGATAAGATGCCAATTTTATGAATCTATGCAGTTTATGTAATTGCTGGAATTTCAGTTTAGTTTTGTTTACTGCTAAGTAGAGATTCATCAGATCTGCCTATTCTGATGGAGCAATCTGATGGATATGACACTTCTATAGTTTTATATTAAAAATACAAAATTACCATCCGTTCATGCTCATGTCCTGGTAAAGGGATCCTTATGTACTAAGGAAAGGAAAGGGACAAAATATTTATGGTTAGCATGAGAGTAAATCAATTGGTGGATTCTTTGTTGAATGACTGGCATGAGGAAATAGAAGATAGGATTGTAACTACAATATTTTGAATACTAGGACCTAGAGGACCTAATTAAGCTCCAGTTCACACTGGTGTTGGCAATGGAACCATTCAAAACGGTGCAACTCCAACCTACCAGAGTCGCCACAGGCAACCCAGAGTGAGCAGACACCTGATCTAAGGGATGAATGCTGCTGTATCACAGGGACTGGATCATGTATATATACGTGATCCAGCACAGTGGGTCACACTGTAGCAGTAAAGCTACATTGCACGGTCCGCAAGTGGATAAAGTGTTTGTATAGCTAAAAACTTTTTTTTTTGTAGAGAGAAGGGAATAGGTGAAAACCCCCGTTCAGGTTATTTTTTTTCCTGCTGTACCACTGGGTAGATTTTGCTTCACTTTCTGTCCCAGAGAAGCAACAGAAAGTTAGAGGACATCTCTCAACATGAGAGGACATCTCTCAACATGAGAGGAAATCCAATGTTAGACTTATCCCTGGAACAAGTGCCCCCAGTGTAAGATTTCCCTTTACCTCTTGTTCTGGGAACAACTCTAAAATCAAAGATCATGTATCTTACTTCTATATCCTGTATGCTTCACCACAAAGAAAACTAGACACTTCTACATGAATAAACTCATATGTATTTGCTTAAATCTGAACTTTGAGCTGGAACAAAAAATGGCCTTGCAGTGGGCCCCTCCCTACCCCCATGTTAAGTTACTGTAAATGCTTGCGATGTATAGAGGTGCTGAAAAAAGGAAAAATAATTATTTCTGTCTCACATTAGGCTCCCTATATCCGTGCACCTGGATCACTGTAGCCACCTTTCTAAGTCACTCACAGGCATGGTGGCATGCTTACCCTTCTGATAACTATGTAGGGTTAATAACCCTGCAATGTCCCCTAAGGGAACACCCACGTGCTGAAGCTTTGGGAAGAAGAGATCAGCACTGTAAATTGCTGGAATGGGTAAAGCCCGGGCTTGTAAGCTGCTGCATGGCTCAAGGTTCCTGAAGGCCACCCACTTTGCTGGAGCATTTATTTCTCCCCTAATGCAATAAGATGGTTTTAGAGGGTGTGAAGAAAAAGGTAATTCACAAGGGCTGCTAGGAAATGTAGTCCCCTGGTACCCTGGCCTGAATGGGAAAGAGGACTATGTCTCCCAAAGTGCTTGGTGGAGCAGGAGAACATTGGGTGTGAGAGAGAGACTTGTTGGTTATGTGTTAGAGAAGACACTGGTAGCTTGTGATGAGGCAGAACACTGTTTTACTTGTGTGGCTTAAGTTGCAAACATACAGAACACATTTCAGCAGACATCTTGGTTTTGAAGAGAGGAATAGGAAGAGAGAGAACCAACAAGTTTTACACATATGCACAACTAGTAACCTTAGTGTACAGTGCCATCTACTGGTCAATGATATTAACACACAATACTATATAGTACATGCTGTTGTATCTCCAACAAGACTGTACTGGGATAGTCCTGTGGGGAGTTAGAAGAGATATGTGCACTACAGGGTGAATCCTGCTGCAGCTGCATAATAGAAAGCTATGCTGCCTGCAGGGTACACAGCACAATTGCTGCAAAGTACATGAGCTTATGCTGTGAAGACACAGGCTGCTGATAGTAAGCACACTCTGCAGGGGACCGAAAGTGGCAAGTCTGTGTGTCAAGGGCTGCTATAGCTGAGCTGGTCTTCTGGGAGCTGTGCTGAGAACCCTTGTGATAGATTTGGGAGGCTGCTGCTTATCAAGAGAGTGCTGCTACAGAGAACCTTACCAACTTGTTCCAGAGACACTGTTACCAATTGACATACCAGTATGTTCCAAAGATACTATTCCTGACCCTGAGTGAGAGCGGGAGACCACCAGCTTGGATTCCAGAGTGGTGAGAGGCCTGTTGCTTACCCCAGTCTAGTCCTCTGGCATCCAACCTTGGGGACAATTAAAGTTTTTGTTTTTTTCTCCTCTGGGGAATTACAAATACTCCAGTGTGGGGATTGAGCGTTCCCACCAAGGACTTTGAGACCCAATGGAAAATCTTTGCCAGTTAGTGGCAGTTTGGATTAAATAATTCTAGCAAGGCCCCTAAGGCTACTACACTCCTTAGGGATAGGGCCTTTCATAAGAGTTAATATAAACCTATGAACTGTGTCCCCGGGTACTAACCCATTTGATATTGTCTTATTGTATTGCTGTGCTAAGGGTTGCTTTTAAACCCAGTTGTGTATTGCTATTTGGCAGTTGCTTTATTTGCCAAACTTTCAGGGTACATTACATCTTAAGCTACAGGTATGTAGGTGAGTTTATGTCCACCATGGTGGGTCATCATCGGGGCACAGCAGAACTTGATACATCCAGTGGATCTTTTGGGGGTGTGCACTGCAGGAAATAGGGTAAGTGATGCTTCCTAGAAATAATCATTTTACACATTTTAAACAAGCATTTTACCCACAGCAAAGGTTTTTTTTTTTGCGTTCCAGGCTGGAGTTCAGCTTTAAGTAATGTGACTACATTAAAACATAGTGGTCATAAAAATATAAAATCACTGTGATTTATGCCTCTCATTGCCTACTGTGACTCAAAAGGTAACAGTCGGAGCTGCAGACACACAGCCCTACTTATGTGTCCATTAACTTAACTTTAGGTTTTTTTTATAAGGTTTTCCTACAATTACAAATGTTTATGAAAACTTTGATGTTAAAGGTTAATCATAAAGGTGATAAGGAAATAGAATCTCTGCTATTTAAAAAACATCCTACATCCACAGTTTTGCAGCAGGTACTGATGTAAGGGTAGAGCTGCTAATTCAGTCTAACACAGGGGCGGACTGTCAACTCATGGGGCCCCCGGCAATAGGGGATCATGGGGCCCCTGTGTCATTGCCCACACTCAAAAAAGCCTATAAAAAGGTACCAGGGGCATTTCATGGGGCCCCCTACTGACCCCAGCCCTCGGGAAGTGCCCGAGTGCTTGAATGGTCAGTCTGCCCCTGGTCTAACAAACTCATCTTGGAAATTCCAGGTAACAAGTGAATGCATTCCATCAGTTACTAGTGCAATCCTATAAAACAGCAAGGCGCTTTACTCAATTTACCTTATTTTGAATACTGTGCATAGCCACTATCATAACTAGGAATTATATCAGATTCAGGTTGAGCATGAGTTCAAGGCCAACCTAGCTAATGTGCCATTTCACCCCCAAGAAATATGGGGGAACTTGGATAAGCCAGCCCGCCGGTATTTTGATCCTCTTAAAGGGCCTGGAGGTGTTGGTGGGAAGTGGTTAAGTAAAATCTTTCTGAATGTCCTGTTAATGGCCAGATGCTGTGTATCTTGGAGAATTTGTGGATGGTGGGGTATTTTTTAACATCTTAATGCTGATGAAGTCCTGTGGCTTCCCTACAGCCTCTCCACATGCAATACAGTTATACCAGGCAGCATGTGTTGTTTTTTACAGGGCATATTTAGTAATTTTTGCTGGCTGCAATTTATTTTTTATAGCCTGTCCCTGTCCCCATCACTTAACTGATAAAGAGCTGCGTGTGTTATTTAAAAGGGCATATTTTCCAGTTGTTGCTGGCTGCAGTTTTGTATGTGTGTAGCCAGGTACTCAGAAGGAGACCAGGAGGAGTGTCAGGACCCCTGAGTGTTTGTACAACTGTAGACATCCTTTCTTCCCCCCTTATTCACTACATGGGCTCTTAAAGAGATGGTAATAAGTGCACCATTGTACAGACAGGATTCCACCATTAACCAGCTTAAAGTGGAACTGCACTGCATCTGAGCACTACAGACCAAAAATGCAATTTAATTCATTGTTAATATTCAAAGCAAACTCGCTCATCCATTCATGTCTCCATGCTATGTTTTGCTGAGAAATAATTTTGAAAAACACCCCTTAGCATTTCTGGCAGTGGCCATTTTGAGTAAGGGCAGATGATTTATGTAGCATTTACATCCTGGAATCAATCTGCCCTTTGCTCAGGCATTGGCTAAGCTGAGAGTCAATACAAAAGGGATAACAGACGCATGGTGTGGCAGTCCATGTATGTTTGATGAGTTCCAAATGGGCAGTGGTGAAGGTAGTCCAGTAGGCACTGAGGGCAAGCTGCGTAGGAGCGAAGCATAACTCTGCAGAAGGGAAACAAAGAAACACAGCGCCTCTAAGTGTGTACTGTGAAGGTATTTAATAGAAAGATAAGTAGTAACTCACATCTTAGAATTTAAAACAGGCTGAAGGGTAAGAGGGTGAGACGTCTGTAGCCAGATGTTGTTGTGTGTCTGATCCAGAAAGGAGATCCATTGAGTCCATCAGCAGGTGGTGCTGTACATGTACAACATGGATGGTAAGCCTGGTAGAATCTCCAAGGTATCTGCCAGCAGATGGTGCTGTGCATATGCAGCATGTGCTGTCCGGGATCAGCACATGTGGTGCCTGACGTCATCAAAATGTGATGTGTTTCTGAGCATGTGCAGGACGAGATGCGTCCAGGTGCGCTCTTTCATCAGGCAGG